GTAAGACTTGTAATGTTTTTTAAAGAAGTCTCTTATGTTCATCAAGGCTGCATTTATTTGATCAAAAATACAGAAAAAAAACAGTAATCTTGCAAAGTGTTATTAAAATATAAAATAATGGTTTCTATTTTAATATCCATTAAAATATCATTTATTTCTGTGATGCAAAGCTGAATTTCCATCAGCCATTTCTCCAGTATAAAGTGCCACATGATCCTTCAGAAATCATTCTAATATGCTGATTTATTATTAGAATTATCAATGTTGGCAACAGTTGTGCTGCCAAATATTTTTTTGGAAACTGCGATACTTTTTTCAGGATTCTTTGATGAATAAAAAGTTTAAAAGAGCATTTATTTAAAATAGAAATCTTTTCTAACAATATTAATCTTTGCTATCACTTCTTATCAATTTAACACATCCTTGCTGAATAAAAGTTTTAAATTCTTAAAAAAAAAAAAAGAATAAAAAATGTACTGACCCCAAACTTTTGAACTGTATTGTATATTGTTAGAAAAGATTTCTATTTTAAATAAATGCTCTTCTTTTTAACTTTTTATCCATCAAAAATCCTGAAAAAAGTATCACGTTCCAAAAAAAATATTAAGCAGCACAACCGTTTCCAGCACTGATAATAAATCAGCATATTAGAATGTTAAATTCTTAAAAAAAAAAAAAAGAATAAAAAATGTACTGACCCCAAACTTTTGAACTGTATTGTATATTGTTAGAAAAGATTTCTATTTTAAATAAATGCTCTTCTTTTTAACTTTTTATCCATCAAAAATCCTGAAAAAAGTATCACGTTCCAAAAAAAATATTAAGCAGCACAACCGTTTCCAGCACTGATAATAAATCAGCATATTAGAATGATTTCTGAAGGATCATGTGACACTGAAGACTGGAATAATGATGCTGAAAACTCAGCTTTGCATCACAGGAATAAATTAGATTTTAAATGTATATTAAAATAGAAAAACGTTATTTTACATCATAATAATATTTCACAATATTACATTTTTTCCTGTATTTTTGATCAAATAAATGCAGCCTTGATGAGCATAAGAAACTCCTGTACTTTTGACCGGTAGTGTATGTAAAACATAAGACAAAGACCTTATTTATCTTGTTGGTTTGCAGAGATTTTGTAGAACAGGCTTTTATGAAAGACTTTTCACAGGTCAGGAAGTTCAGAATCTAATTCCACAGCATCTCTAAGGAAAGACCTGTGATGCCCCTTGCCGCCCATTGAGCAATGCAGTGACAGTTCCCCCTCAGTGTGCACAAATGAGCTGCCAGCGCTTTATTGTGTCTCTGGCTTTGCTCTGTGTGACTCACTGTCTCTGGAGACCAGCTCAAAGTTACGCAGCTAAAAGCCCCAAATCAATCAAACCCGCTCAGATTGTTTTAGTGGAGAATTTGAAGGTTGATAAACACTTGGATTTAGCGATGATGTCTCTGTGAGAATGTTAGGAAATGGTCTGTGAAGGACGTCTTAAGTTGTATTGTATTCTAGGGCTGAGGACAGGGTTTTTGTGTTTTCCTGCATTGTTGTACAGACAAAAAAAAAAGCATGTTGCTCATGGCTTGTCCTCTAAATGTATTATATTTATATAGATTTGATTATATAATTATTATTATTCAGAATTTCATAAAAATTGCACATTAACATTATATAGGCTATATTTCGCACAATACCAACATTTCACTCACCCCAAAACAGGAGTAAATGGCTGAGATGAACATGACAGCCATCACGAGGACCAGGCACAGCATATAGAAGCCAACCATCAGCCCAGAGCTGCAGAGCAACACACAGGTGTAGAGAGGGAACCAGGTGAATAGAAAATAGCTCTGTGTCATTTTAAACAGAATTATTATATGTCATAATTAACATAGGGTCTAAGGGAGAGGAGAGCCCTGCTTTGGCTGCTCAGGTACTAACTGTCTTCACCTTTACAAAGTCGAAATGAATGAAAGCTTCTGTATACGAAAGCTCAAGTGTATTCCCATTCATTATCAAACAAAACCTTCTCTAAGCCTTTGGCTTGTTTGAATGGACCAGAAAACATTTGCAAGGATCAGGTATTTAACTGAAGTGTACTTACTGTGGCACAATGACGATCTGAATGAAGCAGATGAATAAAAAGACGAGGGAAGCGCAGGCTACATACGCTCCGAACCTGGCGTCTACCTGTTTGGAGTACTGAGAGAAGGTGAGGAAAGAGGAGAGAAAAGAGTGGAGTTACAAATACAGTTTGAATGGCATGTGAAAGCAAGTAGTGTTTTACCGACTGTGGATGTGTTGATGAAACACCAGGGTTCCCAGGCTTTTCTTTAACTTTTCCAGTTCTTTGTGATAACTGATACTGCACACACAAAGAGCCATTTCGAGCCCATTAAATATTTTATCTGAGTATAATTAGTAAACAATTAATGCATTATACATTGTTAGCTTTTATGTTTTAGGACATATCCAGGCTTGGAAATCACAACTGTAAAATTTCTTAATTTTTCTAGGTTTTCCACAGTACTGGAAACCCTGAAAATAGTAGATATTTTAAAAACTGTTTGTGTAATTCAGTTGCTTGTAAAGTCAAGTCAAGTAAAATCAAATGAAATACTCCAGTCTTCAGTGCGCATGATCCTTCAGAAATCATTCTAACACGCTGATTTGGAGCTCAACATTTCTTATTAATGTTGAAAACAGTTGTGCTGCTTAATATTTTTGCGGAAACCATGATACATTTCTTTCTGAATTCTTTGATGAATAGAAAGTTAAAAAGAACAGCACTTATTCGATATTTCTTTGGTGACATTTTAAATGTCTTTCCCTTTTGATTAATGTAATTCATCCTTTCTAAATAAAACAAAAAATATTTCTGAGCCCAAACTTTTGAACAGTATAGCAAATATGTAAAATATCTCAAAAATAATATCAAGTACATTTCTTTAAAGACTATGGAAGATAACTCTTCAACAAAGACTATGGAAGATAACTGCTTCATTCATGAGCCTAAAATAGACGTTCTGGACACAGACAATGAAAGACAACAAAAGCAATAATTATCTCCCCCTAACAAACTGGAGGCAAGTCTCTGAAAGAGCCGTGTGATCAGTGCCAGAAGTACGAGAAGTACCGGCACACAACCAGCTAAAAGTGGCGGATGAGAACGTAAATGCAGAGGCTGAGAAACTTTCGTTCCATTACCCTTTCATCAGTATCTTTATAAAGAAACCTAGTCTCCTACACTGTGACAAAAACGCCATCTTTTCTGGGAAAGTTGGGCATCTCTCTGAGGTGGGGGAGGTCAGTGGTGACAAATGCTTTGAAGGTAACACCATAAAATGACTTAAATCACAGTGCAGCATAAAGACGTCAGTCTCTGACTCATTCTGAACCTGGACCTTGAATTTCATTGCCTCTATTCATCTTAGCAGCGTGCCACATCTTTGAGCTATGCTGAATACTTTTTTTTTTCTGTACAACAGTACCATAATGGACGTCTGATTGGCTCTCTGCCCTATTTTTTGCAACTGAAGGAACAATTTACCAGTTATAATAACTAATGATCTGTTAAATGGTTTCCTGCTCACAAGTCATGCAATTTACAACAAAATCCCTAGAAGGCTAGATAATGTCAGCTTGATTATGCATTTAAATCAGAAGAACTTTTTTTAAATAATAATAATAATTATTATTATTTAGAATGAGTGAATGAGTGAGTTTTATTTTATTGCCAGGTATGTTTACACATACGAGGAATTTGTTTTCATGACAGAAGCTCCACAGTGTAACAGAATGACAGTGACAGAACAAAAACACAGATAATAAAAAATAGAAAAATAGAACAAGTAACTAAGGAATAAAAATATACAAATCGACAATTGTATGTACAGGTATATAACAATAGACAGTTGTATGTACAGGTATATTATGTGCAAATTGAAATGTAGACTGAGTATGAGTGTTAGATAAATAAGTGTATGAGTGAATAAATAGTGTGTGTTCCACAGTTATTGTTAAGTGTTCATGAGATGGATGGCCTGAGGGAAGAAACTGATTTAAACTTGACAGGCATAAAAACACACTCACATGATCAACTTATGTAAGGTGCAATCAAGATTTTCTGTGGACAACAATGTGAAAAATGTTCATATAGTGCATAACTTACATAGACTAATTTTATAGTGGGTTTATTTTGTCATTTTTGGAGATTGACAGCTGTTAATTAAGCACTCATTATCTACTATTTTAGTATTTATTAATATTAAGCTTTTATTTTTATATTTTCAGTTTTCATTTTAATGTTTTATTAATTTTGTTATATGCTTTTGTCATTTTTGTTAGACTTTTTTTTATTTCTACCTAGCTTTAATTTATTTTTATTTCAGTTTTAGTCATTTTAGTACATCAACTTATTTTATTTCAGGAAGTTGCCATTTTATTTTATTTCATATTTATTTCAATAAACAAAAATTTGGTTTGGTTTTTTCAATGTATGGAAAAGAGCAGTGTGAACACTTTGCTAAATTTCTCCTTTTGTGTGGTTCACGGAAGAAAAAAGACATTGTGTGGATTAGCATTACCTAATAAATCAGGTTGTGGTGTTAAGGTTTATCTTATCATTGAAGCTAGTCACAGACATGAAAGCCATACCTTCTTCTCCAGGTCAGGTTCTTGGAACGTCAGCAGAAATTTCTTGACTTGTTCGGACCGTAATCGGTCGATGCTTCGAGCGTCAATGGCACGTCCCAGAAACTCATCCACCTCATCCTCAGGGTTCAGGTTTTCTTGCGTGTTTCTGAAAATGAAATGTCTAGATAACAAGACGAGACACAGTTTTTCTACCTTCTTCCTCCCCTCTTAGTTATCCTTTAACTTAATACTATACAGCCAGACCACCAAAAAGCAGCAGTACCGCACCCCCAAAAAACAAATGATGACAGAGGTAAGGGCAGCTTTAGAATCAACATGGTTACCAGCCTTGGATGATTGTGAGTAAAATGGATTACGTTAAAAAAAACAAATCATCTGCTAAAGAATTCAAGGCCTTGCAGTCATGTTCATGCAATTCAGTAACTGCTAAATCACATCAGCAAAACTAGATCCTGCATTTGTATTCAAATACTGAAAGTGCTCATTTGACAGAGAAGTGTCAAAATGGACATATAACGGGTTTGTAGTCACTCAGTTACAGTATATGGTTTGATGGTGAATTGCCTTAAGCAGCAAACTGGCTTGCATTTCTGCATTCACATGGTTAGATAAATGCTGACTAGTTAATATGCTAGAGAAGCACAGTGATACATGCGTAAGTGTCAAGAGACCCAGGATTCTAGGTTCTGATACTTTTCAACACCTCTGGAAAAGTGATGGATATGCTCACACTACATGCATGTGTTGATTAGTTCATTTATAGTTGGCAGTTCAATCACATTTGAATATATTTTAGTGTCTTATTAAGTAGGCCTGCATGGAATCTGTGCCAACATCTGTGTACAACAACTGTAGTAGACTTAACTCCTTTTCAGCCATTTACTCCATTTTGCAGTTTCCCACCCGCCATATTCAGCAGCCCTACTTATGTGACACTGAACAAAACCAGCAGACTTTCATTGCTGAAGTACTTGCTTGATTGATATATAATTCAACTGATGCATTCCGAGTCTGTATTGGTTATTTTATAACCAATAAACTGCTTTGAATGCACCGCATTCAACCACATTTAAAAGTCTGTACTATATGTTTCATAATATTAGTTTTACTTATTTTAAGTGTTATATAATTCAAAACTATATATACACCATTCAAAAGTTTAGGGTCAGTAACACTTTTTATTTTTGAAAGAAATTAGTACCGTTTACTGTTCAAGTGCATTTGAAGGAATCCTGAAAACTGTCATGGTTTCTTCAAAAATATTAAACACCACAATTGTTTTTAACTGATAATAATAATAAGAAATGTTTCTTGAGCAGCAAATCAGCATATTAGTATGCTTTCTAATGTCACACTGAAAACTATAGTAATGGCTGCTGAAAATTCAGCTCTACTGTCACATAAATTACATTTTAAAATATAATAAAATATAAAAGAGTTTTTAAATTGTACAAATATTTCACAATACTACTGTTTTTGCTGTATTTTTTTAGCAAATAAATGCAGCTTGGTAAGCATTAGAGACTTCTTCCCAAAACCTTGCTGACTCCAAACATTTGTACGGTAGTGTATATGAGACAAATTCTGTAATCAACTATTAATAAAGGAATTGGCATGCAAGGTGGAGGTAGGAAGTATATGCTCCATATACTCACTTGTCTTTGGGATCCTCAAATCCCTGCAACAAAATTAGAAGAGAAATGCATTAAACATCAATGCAGAATGGATGAGTATTAGAATGTCTGCATTTGTACAATCAGCACAACAGTGACCCCTTCTGGAGGACATCAAAAAAGTAACAAAAGTTCTCGATTAAAGGGATTGAGCGAATTTAAATGCTATCTTCCCTGGAAAACGTTTGCACCACGAACTTCTTTTCTTGTTGGGGTGATAAAAAAACAATGATCTACCCAACACCCCATTCCAAAACAAGTATAAATCTCTATTAATTTCTTATACTGTCATGCTGCAAATAACAGAGCAGTGACTAATGCAGTAACAAAATATAAACACAGAGAAAAGGGAGAGGTTGGGGAATACAAGAAATATACATAAATAAAGACAATCATTTATGGAAAGACTGCAAAGTTGAAAACGGAGCACTGCTGTGAGACTGAGAAATGATGACTGTACTGATATAACCGAATACATGATGACTGACATTGTGTATAAACAAGCTGAGAGCTGATTCAGGTGGCTTGATTTATGACCACAAGCACTTTTGGAGGAATTTCAATTCAGACCCCACTGAGAACAGAAGTAAAACAGAGCTGGCTGATGAGGCATTGATTTATCGTGGTAGGAGGACATGGGAAATATGGAGAGGAAACCAAATAGGCTCATGTTTAACATGTGCTTTAACGGTTAGTGTTTTTTGTTTTCTGCAAAGGGTTTTAAATAGATACTGCCTACAAAGACATCTGGTTGGTTTACACAGGCAGCACAAGTCACAATTGATTTTAACAAAGTTTGATGCATAGCACATACAAATGTTGGGTAAAATTAATTGTATTATTGTAAAAATATATATATTGTAATATATATATATATTATTATTATTATTAAAATTACTATTACTACTGAGCACAGTTTATATCTGTCTCCAAAACTGACTTCAAACATTTAAGCAAAAGTAGGGCTGTCGCGGTGAAGGAATTACCCTTGCGGTAATTTTGAGTGGCTCAATAGCGCGGTATGCAGTATTATTGCCATATATATATATATATATATATATATAAAATCTGTGTGTGTATGTTACGATATAATGAGATCATATTCAGAAACCAATGAAACCGAAACCAAATAGCGTTGAAATAAGTAAACAGTAGAGAGTGACAAAATGACGATCCACATAACAGAACATAAACCTGACAATAAGATCGTTAGGCTATTGTTAGCCTATATGTATAACAGTTCGTTCTGATCCTCGAATCCGACTGGACAAGAGACTTTCTATTGATATTTCCACCTGCAAGTCAGTGCAGTTACATTGTTGCACCACAAGGTGGCGGCAAGGGACCGTCTTTGAGTGAGCCTTTAAACCATTCATTCAACACTTCAAAAACACTGATTCATTCAAAGAGAGACTTAATGAAACACACTGTTGAAATCAATTAACTTTTGAGCGCCACTTTAGAAGGCTCAGCTGACCAGCAATGCATCTTTGCGAAGACAGAGATTTGGCTTTCCTTGGACATGACAACCAATTTTCACAAATATATATGACTCGCAAGTAATTGCACATGCTCAGTTGATCTCTCTCTCATTCGCTGTCTGTTTAGGCTTGTTAAGTGCAAATCTACGGAGCCTCTGTTCAGATCAGCATGGTACACATTATGTTATTATGTGTAAAACGAGAAGGGCATAACCCTATGAAAAAAGGTTGCTGCGGTTTTTGCATTCCTCTGCGGTTTGCTCGTCAGTAGCGTGGTATTGCGATATTGCGGTTATCGCAACAGCCCTAAGCAAAAGTCCCTTTTTAGATTGAAAGAAAAACAAACTTAAATATTCAAAATAATAATAATATTTAAATATAAACTTAAAAAACATAAATTCAAGTGTGTCCAGAACATATGACACACATTTTAGTTTTTTGCTGTAGTATTGGTATAGAAAATTTGTTTTGTATTACTTATTTAAATCACTTGCATTGGTATTGACTGCTGAAAACCGGTAATATGAGAAGCCCATTCTCTACAATAAGTGCTTTGGATAAAAGCATCTGCTAAATGATACAGACTTAATACATTAAAAGATCTGTGGGGTCAAGGAACAGACTGAATGTTCCCATTAAATACCAAATGGCCATTTTAATGGTAATTTCTAACCACTAAACATTAAATTATGGGAGTAAAAAGCATCCATGAGACAAGTTACTAGATGCATAATAACAGTCACTAAATGTATAGTCTCAGAAGACTCAGATGCACTCCCACGCACAGGCCTCGGCAGAGACTATGACCCAGTCAGTATGTTGGTGTTACACCATTTGTTTCTCTCCTTCAACTAACCAACATCTTCTGGGCCAATGCAAGCCTCTAGACAATACAATAGGCATAAACAGGTGCTGTTGTTATTATGATACAGATATTCTGTTCGTCAGAAAACACCACATGTTTATCTCCCTTCATCAATGCTCTGTGTTTGTGTAGGCGTGGACAGATATCTGGCAATTACATGCTAGTCTGAGCTCCAGCAGGATATATCGAGCTGGATTTATCTGTGCCACTATCAAACAGAACTGCACAAATAATTACAAACAGGCTCCCACTATCTGCTGTTGGTTGGACAAACACATCCCAACAGCAAAATACAATATCTACCAACCCCCTGCTGGTGGATGTTGTAACTACACCATTTTTTTCAAAAGCAGATCTCAAAACATTCTGCTCTCTCTCTACCTCTCTCATCATTCAAAAGATTGTGGTCTGTAAAGAAGTCTCTTATGCTGACCAAGGCTGCATTTATTTGTCAAAAAAGTAATGTTAAAATATTATTACAACTTAAAATAGTTTTCTACTTTAATTTGTTTCAGAATGTAATTTATTCCTGTGATAACAAAGCTGAATTTTAATCAGTCATTACTCCATTCTTCAATGTCACATGAAGCAGAAATCATATTAATATGCTAAGAAACATTTCTTATTATTATCAATGTTGAAAACAGTTGTGCTGCTTAATATTTTTGTGGAAAATGTAAAAAAAAAAAAAAACAGCATTTATTTGAAACAGTATTTTTTTGTAACATTATAAATGTCTTTGCTGTCAGTTTTGATCAATTTAATGCATCCTTGGTGAAAAAAATCTTACTGACCCCAATTTTTTTTTACAAATATTTCATAATAGTATTGTTGATGTTTTCTAGAGCCCTAATGATCAGCTGAAAACTGATGTGGCACATTTATGTTGGAATATTTAAAATCATAAAATTCTACAGGATCCTGTGCCATCGAGCAACTGCAATTTTTATGTTTTCTGTTTTTAATTTTTTACTTTTAAGTTTAATGAATGAGAATGGTAATAGATAGCTTTATTTAGCAGAAATCAACCAATGAATGGTTAATTCCAGTTCTACATTAAACTGGGACTGGACAAGGTTTTCTAACATAGAAATATAGTTTTTGGCAATATTTTGAATTTAGATTTTAATTTTAAGTGTAATGAATGGGAATGGATAGCTTTAATTAACAGCTAACTCCCAGTTGTACATTAAACTGGGATTGGAAAAAGTTTTCTAACATAGAAAAAAATTCATATTACTGTAAATTTAAACTGTAGACATATCTTTTTATAATGGAAAGGTCAATATTCCTGTAATGTTTTATTTGAGATCTCAGTATAATGTATCGGTTGTAGCGAGAACAAGTTATTAAGATGGATTTCTGTGTTCCTTCTTACTATGTTAACCAAGATGAGAAGGAACAGGTGATTCAGACAAAAAAGAAAAGATAAAGGGTATTCCCATGGAGCACACAGGAACTAATTGCTGGTTCCACTTTGCCTGATTAAATCCCTCAGGGCGGTATGTGAGGCAATCCAAGTTTATTTAATTAGAGTGCCGTTCCCTTTGGGTTCGGAGCCAGGGAAGAGCTGAGAACTGAATGAAAGAACAGGGACTACACAAAAAAAAAAGGCATGAGGCCCTTTACATGTGGCCCTAAAGCAATGTCCTTGGGATTGTTTTGGCTTAGTTAACACATGGTACAAAAAGCCAACCCTGTCAAAGGCCTTATCCTCCAACAGAGGCGGTAATGGGTTTTAGATACAGCAATTAGAGTAAATGCAAACCAACTGTTTTTCACAACTCAGACAATGTTGTCATCCTACAATGGTGGTTAATGCGGCCCTTTCAAAAGTGTAGTTTCCTCACCATCCTCTTCATCTCTTTGGAAACTTGATTGCCACCCAGGTGATTGTAGAAGGGCCGGTCGGTCCAGTGAGTGCTATTATGTGTGACCGAGTTGGTGTGTTGCCGGTTCATTTTAGCAATCATGGCCTTTTCTTCTTTCTGTGAAGGGAAATACAAAACCAGAGCAGTATTACGGTCAATGCTTTTTAATGTCATAGTCAATAACTAGCTTGTCTTCTGACGTCATATTTCCCTGAATTTATCCACATAGCTTATTTGCATTCATCTGCTTGCCAGCATCATGTGAGTCATGCTATTCCTGAGCGCTAGGTGTTTCTGCTTGAAAAGGATGTGAATATTAATGGAGAACCACAGCATGTTGACCTCAACTGTCTCAGGTTACAAAGTTTAATAAGCAATTCGAAATACGCAAGTGAAAGTAGACCATAGAATGTTTTATTTCACCTGAATTTATATTAAAATAGAACTAATACCATTCGTTGATGAAGAGGAAAAGAATGTCTCACCTGCTTCTGACTGCAGCCCACAATGAGGTAAGTTTCAATGTTGTGCTTCTTGAGATAGACGTTTCTTTCTCCACCAAATCCAGGTTCCACATCATAATCCCCATTCAGATAGTTCAGTGTGGCCTTGGTGATATGAATACGCCTGAGATGATAACATTAACTTTCATGAGGCATAATGTAGACGGGAAGATGTCCTGGAATGGCAATGCCATATTTAGAATGGAATACTATTGTATTAAATACTGGGTATGTGCTGCTTACAATTTTTTATAGTGTGTGAAACAGAACACATTATGAAGCAATGAACGTTTCCATTATTTTGAGCAAGTGGCATTAATTTACTATTTTGGAAAATGAAACACTTATTTTGTATAGATATAAATGCCTTAACCTTTGGCAGTCCAAAAAAAAAAAAAAAGAAGAAAAAGGAAATGTTGGGATGATATTATTTCTATTTCCAGTGTAGTTTTTGGGTATTTGTCATTTTATCCGGTTTTTTTTTATGTCTATAACAAACTAAACAAAAATGAGAAATGTTGTCTTGGCAACTAGCTTAAGTAAAATAAAATATAGTTAATGCTTATTTTATTTCAAGCAATTTAAAAACATTTTTAAAGTCTGAGTTAACAACAATAACCCTGGAGATATAATATTATTTTATTGTTTTATAATCATATAATTTGTTATTATATATATATATATATGTGTGTGTGTGTGTGTGTGTGTATATGTGTGTGTGTGTGTGTATATTCTTTTCTCTATTTCATGTTGACGTTTATTTTTTAGAAAACTGCCATTTTTACAATTTATTATACGATTAACTATATTTAGACATTTTGATAATAGTAGTAGTCAATTAGTCAGGAACACTTTGCACAGTGTACATACTACAGAAAGCAGTATGGTAGCATGCTATTCCGAACAAAGCTACGGTGACGAAAGATAACTGGAGAGAGACTTGAGAGACTTGTTTGAACTTTTCTTGTGTTAATGGGAAAAATTTTTTTTTTAAATAAAAACGTGAAGATTTTTTCAGATTTTAAAAGTGAAGAGACACAGGGAGTTCAGGTGAGAAAACATGGGCAAAAAAAAAAAAAATTCCAGAGTTCATGAACCCACCCTGCTTTGCCCCCAGCTTCCATGTGATTGGCCAAGGTGACATCGTTGGACCAGACATCAAACTGCCACTTCCTTAATCCCAGCACCCCACAGTGGACTCGCCCGCTGTGTATTCCCACACGCATGTTGACGTTGACACCGGTGACTTCCCTCACCAACCTGGAGCACGGAGACAGGCAAAAAAAAAAAAAACAGATATACCGGTTGTTAATTCAGTTAATCATATATTTTGATATAACACATTAACCAATATACTAAATTTGATCTCTGAAGGTGATATTAAACTTCCAGTTTTAATGGTCAGAACTGTGAAAGTGGTTTACATGTAAACAAATTTAAAACTACTAAACCTTATTAGAATTCATGGTGTCTGCTATCAACTAAAATGAGAAAAAAGTGTCTTCATTTAAATAATAATATCTCTAAAGAAAGTGGCACTTTCCCAATGATAATAAGCAGTGACATGTCCAGGTGTATCTGCGAATGATTTACATTTCAAATAAAAATATGAACACAAAAAAATATTATTCAAATATGAGTCTTATTTAAATTAAAACTTAGAATTTTACTTAGAATATCCATAATCAGCCAGGAAAAGGTTAAGTATTCAGAATATTTTAATATGGTGAAAGAACTTTAAACATTTTTTGTTTTTAATTTTTAAAAATATAAAATTGAAATAGATTGATTTTTGTTTTGCTTTGCTATTTGTTTCTAGGGGGGAAAAAAACAAAGCAAAAAAATTTAAAAAATACTAAGCGAAACAAAACACAAAAAGATCCCAAACTGGACAGAACAAACAAAGACACAATAAGATTGCAGGAAATATGAAATGTTCCTCTCTCTTTTCAAGCTTCATTCACAGTTGATGCTGAGGTAGCTTTTAATATGTGGGGATTTGTGATCATTTTCTTTTAACGGTTGGTTTCTCTTTGCGAACTCTCTCTTTTTCAGTGTGACAAATGTAATATAATGTATTTCCTACATTTGGACCTTGCCATTTTAATATATGATATAATTCATAACCTTATCCACTGATACATCTCATCTCACTTTTCCCTATATGAAAAAGTCCTAAGGTGGATTAGCGCACACTGAAAGGCACCTTTCCACTGGGCACATCAACAAGTTAACAACACAGCACATTCTGATCCCGACATCATACGGCAAACAAGCCATCAAACTTTTTTGAACATTGAGGACGACAGGCAAGTCTGCGGAAAAATGGTCTCTTCCTGTGATGGGGCGCTGGGGCGGTTGGCTGCAGCTCAGAGAAACACAGACACGTGCTCACTGGAGCAGAAAGCCAGTCACCACCATTCCTGCCTTAACAAACAACTGCTCAGAGACACTGAACATTAGAGAAGTCAGGACTGTGGACACGTCCACACGCATGCAAGACAAATAACTTGGAAACAACTCAATTAAGAGGTGACTGACCTGACCAATTAGAACAGCAGGACAAACTCATAGAGGGTAATTCAAAGTTTCTAGTGAGAATGTAATGCTTATAACAATTTAGTCACGATTAGTAAAAGCAGGTAAATTAGATTAAGTGTTCTCTCTCAGCTCAGCCCTTCTGTGAACTTTCATTCGGTGCAGTTACAGAGGCATGTTCCGTAAACCGGGTATTGAACATCATATGAGCTGTTTTTTTTTATTTTTCATTCCTGATTCATTACTTATTGAGGCAACCCTGTTTAAAAAATAACTTCAAATCTTGAAATTTTCTAGGAATAAACAACAACATGGCAGACAATTACAAAACAAAATTGTTAACATGATTTAGTCTAACATAACTGTTTTAAAAGATTAATGTTTAATGAAAAATATTTGAATTAATTATTATATACAGTGTTTCCCCTAGGTTTTTTCTTCTGGACTCTTTTTTAATGGTTAAATTAAATTGTATTAATCAAAAAGCATGTCTAATGAATTAAAATCATGAAACTTAAACAATTTAACATCAATTTATTAAAAGTTTAACAAATTCAGATTCACTTTCGCCAGATTCACTTTCGCCAGAAAGTCGTGTATGCCTAAGGTTAAAAATAAATGACGTTTATAGTGAATGCCCCTATAAATGGTCTTATTTTTATGATTTAGTTTTAATCCAAATGATGCGTGTGCTAAGTGAGTGAACATCAAAGATCACACAACAGAAGTGCACGCACTTAATCTCTTATAACTCCATTCTGCTGTCTGTTGTTCTGTTGTCGGTGTCTCTTTGTCTGAATATGGCACTGATCACATGCTGTGTGGTATCGGCGTTTGGTATCGGGGCATTTTAACGATTACGAGTACGAGTACAGGAGCTCAGAATCGGGCCCGATACCGATAGTGCATCCCTAAATATTATATGTTAGGGCCCTATAAAATGTTTTTTTCAACCTTATGTTTTATTGTTACCAAATTCTGTTTTAGAATGTCTAATTATTTGAAAGCATAAAAATAAGTTTAATTTATTCTTACAATAGCCTTATGATTTTTTGCACAGAAATTCTGTATTGTGTATTTACATTTTTTAAGGCATAAAACTCATTTAATCTATCTTATTAATATTATTAAACAAATTTTTTTTTTTGGAAAATTACAATTAAAACATTGAAGAAATATTGATGATTGATGATTATTCCTTAAAAATAAGGTTTTAATCATTTTAGTAGTAGTAGTAGCAGCAGCCTATTACGTACATTCTACTGATTACAATAGTAATATATTTCTGCCAATGCCTTCACGTTAAACCGAACTTTTATTTTGATGGGTTGCCATGAATACCTTTAGCAGCAGCCTATTACGTACATTCTACTGATTACAATAGTAATATATTTCTGCCAATGCCTTCAAGTTAAACCGAACTTTTATTTTGATGGGTTGCCATGAATACCTTTAAATTTCTGTGTGTATATGATAGGATGCTAGTTTTACTCAAATGAAACGTCAAATGCTCATTGTGTGTGTGTGTGTGTGTGTGTGTGTGTTTCTGTGCATGTGTGTGCGTGTGAACTCCGCTGTGCGTGATACAGAGAGCGCGACCATAACGTAGAGACCGAAATGACATGCCGTCGTGTAAATAAGATAAAAAACATAAGGCTATTTTAGTTTGCTTAATAAAAGAACAAGGTATAGACCTGTTATATCGGAAAGGTAACTTTAAATGACTTCTGTTGTGATCTGGCACTATAGAGAAAATATAATTAAATAAAATTCTAAAATTATATATTAGGGGGGCGGGCCATTATATTGGTTTCCCCTGCCAATATAATGGCAGGGGAAACACTGATATACATACAGATACACACACATATACATATACACACACATATACATATACATATACATACATATATATATGTAGTATGTGTGTGTCTATCTATCTATCTATCTATACACACACACACACATATTTGCGCGAATGTAAATCTTCCATAAAACCAGTATATATTCCACATTATTATAGAAACTAAACTTTTTTGTGTGTATATATTTGTGGAAATTGCCAGGTCCTGATTCACCGTAGCATCTCTTTTGTATCTCCTGGCTGAAGTACATTTTCAGGGAGACATTTAAAATGAGACATAAAAGCCTTGCTGTTCCTGTCTGATGAACAGATGTAAAACTGTAATACTCACGAGATTGCTTCGATCATGTCCACACCCATCTCCACGCAGCAGTGCGCATGGTCAGCACGGGCCTCAGGCAGCCCCGACACACAGTAGTAGCAGTCGCCCAGGATCTTAATCCGTAGACAGTGATTCTCCTGCAGACACACAGAGAATGATCAAACAAAGTAAGGGTGATTGGGCTGGTGTAAATGGGATCAACGAGCAAATAATCAAATTTTAACTGTCTGAGTTGCTGTAGGTCACAGGTTTTTTTTTTCATTTTTTATAAAACCCTTCACTCCAAACTAAAAATGAATGCATTACATGTAATTTCATAGCCATTAAGGTGTATTAGTAGATATTCCATACAGGGAATGTGTTACATAGCCTTTCTCCCATTAAAAACCCCTTCACATACCGCAAATGGTTTTCCTTTTAAGGTTATGAATTTTAATTGAGATTTATATGATTTATGATAACAAAACAAACTAAAATCTTAACTGTTCCCAAATGGCTTTAAAATGTCAGATTTTGATATGTCTCTACAGTGTATTTTTTTATGTACTAAGTTTTGGCATCCCACTTTCATGAATTCAAAAATCCAACCCAATTTGTCTTGATATTTTGCTTGGAAAACATGAGTAGTCTAAACAAAAAGCTTTTGGAAATGGATTTCAACAAAGGAAATATAAATAGATGTAACAGATAACAGATACTGTAAGAATAGTTCAACTAAAAATGAAAATTCTGTCATTATTTGTGAATCATAAAGTATGACTTCAGATAACTTGCAATATAGCATATACGATGCTTTTATGGTGCTTTTGCATCGTTTTTGAAGCTTGAAACCTTCAGTCACCATTCATTGTAATTGCATGGAAAAGAACAACCAGAATAATCTTCAAAAATCGTAAGGAAAAAAAAAGTCTTACTGGTATTGAAATTACATAAGGGTGAAAAGTAATGACAAATGTAATTTTTGGTTGAAATACCCTATTAAGCGTTGTTTGTTTGAGTGCTATAGGTATCTTACTTTGTAACAGAATAGTTTAATCAAAAATTAAAACATTATTTACTCACTGTACAACTTCTGAAGACTAATACAGCAAATACGATACTTTGAACAAATAATGACAAATTTCATTTTTGGGTGAACTTTCTGAAGTACTATAGGTTTCTTAGTTTGTAAGTCATCAAAACAGGAGAGAAGAAAGCGATGGAGAGCAGAAGAGGAAGCCTCAGGCTGGGCACAGGACTCACGGCCGCAGGACCGGGTCTTATGACAGCCACCTGAATGTTACCCCAGTGCATGCCTTCATTTAACCCGCAGCCCATACAACAACCTCTATTGTTGATCATAAGGGCGAAGTGCGTATGCATGCTTTTTTGTCTTTTTGCTCGAAGGTTTTGTGAAGTGTGCAAACATCTGAACAGACAACAGATGGTTTCCCCTTTGAGCAGCATCTCTCTGCAGCAGCAGAGTACGTGTACGAATGCATGGCAACTTGGCTGCAATGAGTCACCACCACTGGCAGAGATAACAAGGAGATAGTTGAGCTGGAAAACAGCGAGAAGCATGATCGCAAACACTCATCTGACAGGAGGGAGGGCTTGTCTATCCCAGTCAGCTGTGTGAGTGGGATGCTAGCGGAATTAATCTGATTACATCTCAGTTTGCCATTGTGTTTCGACAAAAAAGAAGCTGTTTGGCTCAGGGCGAGGGCTGTTCTGCAGACACTTACGGAGGCCAGTTTGTCGAATCGTGCGAAGAGCTCGTTGAGGGTCATCACTAACTCCTGGGCAGTGCACTGAGAAGCCAGACTGGTGAAGCCCTCAATGTCGGCAAAGAGGATACTGCAGAGAAAGAGAAACATCAAACAGAGTTAGAGGTTTCATCGGTTACGGGCACTTTTATATTTTAGGAATTGATTTTTATTAACAGATGTTTTTCTTGATGTTATATGAAGGTCCGTCTTGAAACTATTTTTTTTTTACCATGCTATCACCATCATTTATTTTTGCTACTTTTCAAATGTCTTTAAGTTTTATGTATAGATTTTATGGTTTCACTACTATAATAACGGGTAAAGTACGAAATCCTCCTTAATATTGTTGTTACATAAAAAGTCAACACAGAACATTATCAAACGCAATAAATAATCTGAGATGTGCTATAACTGACACTATCTATATCTATAGATATATCTATACAGTGTGTATATATGTGAGTGTGTTTTAAAAGAGCGGTCCCAAAGAAAGCCCATAATGAAATATTAATTGCTAGCAAAACCAAAGTCATGAGTTTGATTCGCAGGGAACATACAGTACATTATAAAACATATACTCTGCCATTGTGGATAAAAGCATTTGCCAAACGAATAATAAACCCAATGAAAAATCAGGTCATTCTTGTTAATCATCTCAGGCCCTCATCCCCACACATCAGTGTAGTGCACATTCACCTATATTACATGGTTGCCACGGTTACCTGGCTGACAATTGAAACCCTCGCCCACAGCTATTCATTTCAATTGACCATTTGTGAAGCAGACTTTACATAGATACAATATGAGCTAACTAATGTGATCCCAGCATCACAGCTCCATTACCGTGCCAATGGCACAGCAGACAGGTTTGGATGGGAGTGTGTGCTCTCTTTAGCAATAGATGACATTCACATTATGAGAATGTTGGGCCTACAGAGACAAGAAAGTGAATAAAGCATGATATTCCCCTGTGGGAGCCCGGTAACAGATATGGTTCTTCTTTGTACACCTTGAATGAAAGACAAAACAAAACCTTGTGGGCTGTAATGACTTTTCCTATTCAATATTCATCTGCAGAGCTTTTACCAATGCTGACATTGATCTAGCTTTATTTCTAACAGCTCAGGGCTGGTCTGACACTCAAGCTAGCGTGACAGTATGAAGATCGCCAGGTTTGACTAAAGCCCAGGACCCGGGTGAGCGTGACCTCTCAGTTCAGACTCAATATCAAAGACGATTTCCAGAAATGTTTAAAAGCAGCCCAGAGGGCAGGCTGTTCTTGTTTGCAACACCCTTTTTTCAAAGCATACATGCTGCTCGGTTCCCTGGAAAAAAAGCCGGACTGCTTAATGGCTTTCAATCAATGAATCTTTGTGTGAACTGTAGCATTGCAGACTATTTGCAAAAATACCCTTCAAACCTCAATTAAATGCTCAGATTTTTCAGAGTGCTAGAAATAGTTAAAAAAAGCAACTAAACCATCTTAAACAAGCTGATTTAAACATTTGATGACCCTGAAAACAAAACTAAATATTATAAAATAATATTATAAATAAATATTTATTAAATACATTAAATAAAGTAAAAAATATATTAAACTGGGAAAAAAAACCCTGCAGATTTCAGGCTAATCAGCTTCAAAATGGTCTAAAAGGGATTTCTCCTCAACACACCTTACAATTTGTGGTATCATTCATGTCAGTGCAAGGCAAGTTTCAGACAGGTTAAATATTTACTTTTTTTATTTTTATTTTACTTCTAGTAAATAAAATCTGAAGCTATTCACAAATGAAAAAAAAAATACAACAACAATGCAACTGATTCTAAGACAACTTTGCTCAAATTGTATAAGCAAGCATTTCATTGGATTTTAGCCCTCTCACTTTCTAGCAGTACAGATTTTAGAATGAATTTTTTTGAATTTTAGAATGTAATTATTCAAATTAGATTATTTTAATTCTTGGAATTGATTTGGGTCTCTGAACTAACCCCTGTCAGTTACATGATACGATTCAATGCACTAAAGGACAACAGATCCTCTTGCTACATTTAGCTGGCTTCCTACTCTACAATGTCAATACACCGTAATGAATTAATGATGCCACCTTTTCATAGTAAATCAAGTGTTCATAGACCATCATGAGACCATGTCTGAAAGCTGACAAAGATGAAGCACAGGAATCATTTTTATCTAATTGCATCAGCCCTGATCAAAAACAGCCAAAACAAAAGCATCATATGACTGTACTGTACACGAGTCTCTTATGAGCCGTTAAAAACAAAAGTCAATCAAACTAAAACAAGCACTTTTGACTGGACATCCATGACTGCATGGATCATAAGAAAAGACTTTGTGAACTAATTTTGCTATGGTTTCTCCTATAACTTTAGATAACAGATTTAAAGGGATAGTTTACTCAGAAATTATGATTTCTTCATTATTTACTCGCTTTCAAACTTGTATGACTTTTCATCATCTGTGGAACACAAAAGGAGATATTCTATTAACTTACCCTCATATTATTCCAAAAGATTACCGAATTTTCATTAAAAAATAAAAAACACAGTCCATCAAAACAATCTAAAAGATTATTTAATTTAATATTTTACTATGTAAAACAGCATACCGGTTTGTAATAGTGTGAGGGTGAGCAAATGATTATATAATATCCATTTTTGAATGTACTAAAAGCACACAAACACCCCTAAGTCTACATTTAAACCCTCCCTTACACAATATAGCATGCAGAAACCCCTATATAAGTCATAGATCAAAGGTTTCTATATAGCTGACGGATCTATTAGAGTTGCTATATATAAAAGCTCAAAGAAAAGGCCTCCCCTGGGAGTGTGGATTAAGGTTAGTTGACTCTGAAAGTAGACAGAGTGCAGTGCTCTCTGAAGGATAGCGTCTTGGCTGCTGCGAGCATCTCAGGCAGATCTTTAAACCTCATTTAATCGTTAACACAGAGGTGACTCATCAGCTCCCTGCAGTCTGGATCAAAAATGTTGCTGCAGTGTGGCACAATGGCAGGATGGCTCTTTAAAAAGAATCCAAACACATTACGACCTCTGGAGTATTTCTGCTGGCTATTACGAACACAGTCTATGTCCTTTATTAGGTGCTGTTAATCCAACGCTTTCAGTGAGTAAACATGAAGCAAAGAATTAAATGAAATCCAGAGCACCCTAGAAAAAAAGACTGCCTAGACTGTCAGCTTTCTGGAGACCAGCAATGCCAATCATAGAGGAAAATAGCTGTGGTTACATTTATCCCAGTCAACAAGAAAAATCATCCTCAAAATCACATTTTAATAGTTTATTGTTTAGGGAAAAAGAAAAAAAAAAGTTCAAAACGGTTTTAGATACACTTTTATATACTGTAAATCAATAATTTATTTAATATATTTATAAAAATATAAAAATGTACACTACAGATTAAAACTTTTGGGTCAGTAAGATTTTTTAAATGTTTTTGAAGGTTTCTTATGCTCAAGTTTGCATTTATTTGAGCAAATACAAACAATAATTTTGTGGAAATATTATTACAATTTAAATGACTGCTTCCTATTTTAATATATTTTAATCTTCATAGTCACATGATCCTTCAGAAATCATTCTGGTTTGGTGCTTTAAAACACATTTCTTATATTATCAATGCTGAAAACTGTGATACACGGAAACTGTGATACATTTTTATTACATTTTTGATTTTTTGATGAATAGAAAGTTCAAAAGGGCAGCATTTATTTTAATTAGAAATCTTTTGTAACATTATAAATGTCTTTAGTGTCACTTCTGATCAATCAAATGCATCCTAGTTGAATAAAATATAAATTTCTTTAAAAAAATAAAACATACTAACCCCAAACTTTTGATCGGTAGCATATAAATAATAATTATTTTACAAATATACTAAGCATAATGATTATGCATGCTGTATACTGATTATTCTCATAGAAGCTGGTGAGATATATATTGTGTTGATGGGGACAAAACAATAGTTCTTGCCAGCAATGTTAATGAATTTGTGGTGACAGCAGCCCTAAGGTCAAATGTAGCAGCTCTCTGAACATACAAAATTATATTGGGAGTTAGCAAAGTGTTGACAGGAAAATTAGCTAATAAAATGGCAGGAAGTTTAATAAATGGAGTGTGTAGCTGGTCAGCGATAGTCTGTCTACTCTAGGGACATCAGCATGAAAACCATTTCAGCCAAAAAAAGAAAAGCCCCTGGATGGAATGTTGCACAAAGTCACACTTCCTGCTTATATAACATGGCCCCCTAAATCCATCAAGGGTCACTGCTTGAGAGGTCTGACCTCCTGATCCATCGCCCCTGGAACTCAAACTGGTTCTACAATTGCTGAATAATGATATTGGTATAAAGCTGTTGAATAAAAGCCTGTCAAATCTGCCTCCCTCCATACCAGTGATAATTCAAAATATGGGTAAAACAGCTATTAAAAAACTATATAGAAAATTCCTTCATATTAACATGGCACATTTCAGCATATTTTTACAGACTTTTCTTCGTTTAAGCCACACAGTTAGAACACAATCATGTGTCGTCCTTCATCGTGCTGCATAGCTAGAAATAGATATCAGAGTTATTCATGTCCCCTTTGGGGAGGAAAAAACAACTTTCGGTTTGCCCTGCCACTCACTTAAGGACAAATTAACGGATGTTTAAGCAAGAGTAAAGACCTAAACAGCAATCCATGCTTTCTTAGTCACAGAAATGTGACAAACGGGTGATTAGAAATGGTTCAAGGAACAAAAACTGAAAATTAAATTTTTGGCTAAATGTAATGGAAAATCCCTTACAAATGTTTCAGAGTCTAAACATTCATTTGTGAACGATAAAATAAAATAAACATTTTAGTTTTTTCAAAGGCTAATCAGACTTGCTTTTGCCTAGAATGTGACCCCATTGATGAAAATATCAAATCAGAATTTCAAATCAGAAATCAGAATTTCATTCATGTCCACTACTGTTTAAATTAGCTGGTGCCGCACAGATAAACTATCAGTTCATTTCTCGAGCAGAACTCCCAGCCTCCTCTTCCCACAATAGTGTGGGTTTCGCTCAAGAGCAAAGATTCAAACACAGACATTGTTATGTAACTGTCCTCAGCAATTAAACCACTGGGTACCACTGGGTCCTCTAGTACAAACCTATCAATATTCCACTTAGCGAGATATCGCTTGGCTGCACACTTACATAATTCCTCTGACCATGGAACATATCTGGTGGGGGCTTTACTGGAAAAGGATAAGAGACAGACCCTCGATTGCAGACAACAACCCAGAGGGTCAGGAGTCGCGTGGGTGGCGTGGCCCACTGGCTCACAAAGCCCAAGTTCATATTGCCCTTTGTTGCTGTAGTCTGCCCTCTTTTCGATCATAGAAAAGGGCTGGCAGAGAATATCAAGCCTCAAAATCAAGCCATTAAAACAATGGAGGTCAAAGTCTCTCTGTACTGTTGTTTTCTAGTAGGCACTGCTGCTGTACTGAACAGTATCAGGTGCCGGATCACTGTCTGTACTCCTATTGATAGTTGCAAAAGTTAAAAAATAAAGTTTGTATAAAGCTCTGCTTGAAACTTCGTTTCATCAACAATAAATCACATTGCTGGAAATGTGGTACTCTCGGTGAAAATAAATGCCTTCTGATCACTAAAAAACACAATCAGTATGAACACCCATTTAACCGTGAATTTGGAAATGCTAAACAGAATTTAATCCAGAATATGCATTTAAAGTGCTTCGGTCACTTTTTTGACAATTTACTCATGAAAATAGTTCAGAGTGGCTACAGGTCTAGAATGTATATTATATGCGCAATCAGCCATCATTCACATACTAAAACATTTCACAAAATTTCACTGAAGCTTTTCAACAACAATAACAAAATAAATAAATATAAAAAATTATCAAAATTCATCTGAATATATAAGAATTATTATTTGTTTATGGGGAAAAAATCTGTAATAAAATTCTGTGTATTTGTGTTCTAGTTTAAGCTGTACTATGGTGTGGCAGGCAGTAACTGTACATTAGCACTCTGGTGCTAAATCCAACTCCTCCCCTGTCAAACCGCTTTATTTCTTGGGTTAATCTTCTACCCTCCAGATTTAGAATTTATAACCGTGGAGAATCATAATTCATCACATGGATTCCAGAGTTGTCTTTTGTCATCGACCTGAGACCCACATGGTTTTAAACTCTCAAGTCTTCATACGATTACAGCTGTGTTTAAAACTGAAGTACAAATCAAAGACCGACATGAGGTAAAACAACAGGCTACACCTAATAGGGCCTCTTGTGATTGTGAGTATCCAGCCAGTCTGGTGCTGTTGAAATCGGCATGCAATCAGTGGGAAAGTGTCTATAGACGCTCAGAAGAGCTGCCTTGACACATGGATGGTCAGCCAGAGAAAGAGATGAGCGAGTTTTTTTTTCTCTAAAACCACAAGAGGGTGCAATATCTAACACTTATCAGATTTATAAAACACTTACAAGCTCTGTTCCAAAACCTAGTACGCTGCCTATCAGGACAGCACTGAAATCTGAAGCAGTATATACTTATATATATGAAAATTTAAAAAAACATTACAAACAAAAATCACATTATTAAATAAGTAATACTATAAAATAAGTAAATAAATAAATGACATCTGAGATGGTAGATGGCCTGAGAGAAATGCTCACAAACGTAAATATAGCCTACTAATATTTCATGCAATGCAAAAATGTTACATCTAATAATGTTGAAAATAAAGTTGAGCAACATGCTAATGGATGCAGATTTTGTGTTTGCGTTTGATCATTTTCAGTTACCAAGAGGGTAACTGTGTAGGGCCGCTCACTAGGTTTTTGGAAAAGCATTAATCTCATAACCTAACGAAGTACTAACATAATTATAGTAAAAAATTATTGCAATGATTACTGTGGACTGAAAAGGCTTTAAAAGTGCTTTGAGATGCAAACACTGACTACCGTTTTTCAGGCTATTTGAGGAGTCACTCTTACCTCACATTGTCATGCTTTTGAATATAGATCTTGTGGAACATCATATCCTCTTGTTTGGCATTTATGTCGGCTTTCATCTCCATGGCGACATTTCGAGGAAGCACAGAGAGGAGGAGGCGTTCCTGCAAATGATAACAGTGATAGTAAGGGAAAGACAGGTAGAAACAAAGAGAAGAGTGCCATGTGTATCTACTCAATCCATTTTTCTATGCCGAAAGACATGGGTATCATCTTACAGTCAGGAATAGAGAAAACTGAAGTACACTGCAGAAAATGACATTCATTCTAATTTAGCCCTATACCACTTACTAAAAGCACTGTGGTACCAGTGAAGGTGTCAGATGCTAACATTATGGTATTTCGATACATACATACTGAACAATGTTGATTTTGGTTTATTTTTATTTATTTGTATATTTATTTATATGCATTTATACAGAAACTAAAAAAGTACAGTTTTTATTCACTGTATAAATTCAAATAAATAAAAAGAACTGATAAATAAAATAAAATAAAATAATCAATAAAGGAAAAAAAGAGCCAATATATAAAATAAATTAGTAAAGAACCAACAAACAAACAAAAGAAAAGAAAAAAAAACACACAAATAAATATTCCATATAGTACACTAACTGTGGCAAGAAAAATAGTTATTTAATACTGGTAAGTCATCTAGAGGCCATAGCGTTATTTTCAAAACGCTTGATATGAAAAAAAATAAATTATATGTTTATTGAAAAAATTATGAATGGCCTCTGTGGGCTTCTGTGTTTGCAGAAACGGACAAAAAATGTTTTACTTTGTTGCCACAATGAACTGTTCTAGGATGTGGTTCTAATCTCACAAATTAATCAGCACTGCATGTCTCCGTGCACTAGTTTTCTCACGGTTTCAATTCTTTACCGAAAAATCAATGGACATATGAATGGACTCCAGCTGAAAGACTTTTCATTCATTTAGCTTCATTCCAAGCAAATCTAAAGCTATTTCCCCACACATATTTGAGTCTGAAAGAAAGAGAGAGAAAAAAAGGAACCTTGCACGGAATGTTGCATGCTAATATTCTTCAGTTTTTATATGGTTTTCCCAGGTGCTTAAATACCATGGTATTAATTATGGTACTTTGGGTACCTGATTATGGTACTTAGAAATGTACGATTTTTTTAAAATGTTTTTGAAAGATATCTATTATGCTCACCCAGCCTGCATCTATTTAATCAATAATAATCTGTCTGACTAATGACTTTTGAATGATAGTGTATATATCTGTGCCTGGAGAATCTTCATACTAAACATGAAATCTTTCAGACTCACAGAAAGTCACTAGAAATTAAAATGTGCTCTCATGATATCTGGACAACTCTCACCTGTTGCTGGTTTTCTCTCTGAGAGTGCAGGCGGGCTTGAATACATTCTCTGGTCTCCTGGAAGGCTTGCCTCTGTGAGCCTTCTGCTGGGTAGTGTGTGCACACGCCAACTATATTAGTGCAGGAGAAGATCAGGACATTGCACACGAGCTAGAAATGAAAGCAGAACACAACATCAAACAATATGGAACTTGACAGCTTACTCTCTCACCTTCAGAGACCCAAACATTGATATTGATAATATATGTGCTGTTCCCTTAAAACAATAGTTTACCCAAAAATTCTGTCATCATTTACTTAATCCAAACAGCACTGGACCCTACTAACTTTTATTGTATGGACATAAAAGAAATTGAGTCAAAAGATCTTTTTTGTGTGATTTTAAGAAGCCACTTGTTATAAAATTCATGATTTATGTTTTATTTTCAGTATGTTCAATCTCAGAGCACTCTAATAAAGTTTCATTAGATTATTCTGACAATCATCTGGAGTAGTTTATCTATGATTTACTCAATGGAGTCTATTGTGCAACCCTGGCATTCTGGGAGTTTCTGTAATAAATGTCTGCCAAACTATTTTTATGATACATTTCAGAAGGAGAGCTGATGTTTTATATAGTTTTAACTCATATTTAGTGAAATAGCTATTATGCAATTGTTTTAAACAAGTGTTGCTATAGTGAATCACTGAGGGTTAATGGAATAATTTGTCAGAAAATGAAAATGTGCTAAATTTTGCTCAAATGTAATCACTCTCAGGCTATCCAAGATGTAGATGAGTTTGTTTCTTTGTCGAAAAAGACTTGGAGAAATTTAGCATTGCATCACTTGCTGACCAGTGGATCCTCATCAATAAATGGGTGCCATCAGAATAAGAGCTCAAACAGCTGATTAAAAACATCACAATGCACAAGTAATCCACACAACTCCAGTCCATCAACTAACATCTTGTGAAGTGCAAAGCTGTGTTTCTGTAAGAAACTAATCCAAGTCATCTATCCACAATATCGCTTTTTACTCAATGAAAAACTCATCTTGTCTGAATCAGCAGAGTATACAAGCAAAAACAGTCAGAAACTGTTATAAACAAATATGTTGGTAGATTTTGAAGTTAGAGGACAACAGAGAGGACTTTGTCATGCAAACATGCAGCTTTTCACGTCACAAGATGTTAATTGATGGACTGGAGTGTGTATGACTTATGGATCTATTCTCTCTCATTCTGATGGCACCCATTCACTGCAGATGATCCATTGGTGACATGACATGACGTGACATGACATGTGGCCAAGTATGGTGACCCATACTTGGAATTAGTGCTCTGCATTTACCCATCCAAAGTGCACACACACAGCAGTGAACACACACACACACACCGTGAACACACACCCGGAGCAGTGGGCAGCCATTTATGCTGCGGCGCCCGGGGAGCAGTTGGGGGGTTCGGTGCCTTGCTCAAGGGCACCTCAGTCGTGGTATTGAAGGTGGGAGAGAGCGCTGTACATTCCCTCCCCCCACCTACAATCCCTGCCGGTGAAAGAGTACATTACTTGCTGAGCAAGTAATGTAATGCTAAATTTCTCCAAATCTGTCCTGATGAAGAAACAAACTCATCTACATCATGGATGGCCTGAGGGTGAGTAAAGTTTCAGCAAATCTTTCAAAATCAAAATTTTTGGGTGATCTATTCCTTAACTACAAAGCAGGCCCCAAAACCACAGTACACATTGAGGGGGGCCCAATTAGTAATTAGCGGTTCATCAAAGTTGTTTTTTTCCACAGTATTTAATAAATTATTGCATTTAGTTATCCCAATCCTGAATATGTGGTTGCATGCTTGCCAAGGAATTAATTGGGAACTGTAAGTCAGAAAAGTATCAAGTGCACACAGACACGAACATGCCTTATTAGATTTTCTCATTGTAATGTCCAAGATGAGTTTGTGGTTCCAATAAGACAAAGCAAATCCAGGAAGTCTGCCAACTTAAAATAGAGCATATGATAAAGACTAGCCAAACAACCTGAAGCTGTTCAGTGTCAACACGTTTCAACCTCCCTCTCTTCCACATGCGGGGTCAGGAACACAGTGTCTTAACTCCTTCTAAACACTGGTATCAGGGGCAGCAAGATGCATTCCCATAATATCTTTGCTTGAGCTGGACTAAACTTCAGCAGACATATCTCTGCCATGACCTCAGGGTTCAAAACACAGCCACGCCAGACGCTTGCCCTTAATCTGGATTGTGTTAACATAACATTGCTTTTCTTTTGCTTTATTTTGTCTCTAATCGGTCAGATATGGTGGTCTAAATAACAATTACTCTATTTTTACTTTTTATGGTGTATTTCTGCTTAAATGGTTCATAAAAAAATGTGATTAAGGTGGACTAATCATAGTTGAATTTTAGAAAAATAACTTCCTAGTGTACAAATGTCAATATGCCAAAAAAAACATGACATTTCAAAACATCCAATAGAAGATACAGCTTTTGGAGCTGTCAAGTACTGACAAACATTTTTAGTGTGGAAAGATAGAAGGTCAATGTAATGACATTATCAGGGCAAGCTTTAAAGGGGTCCTATTGTGCTTTTTCACTTTTTCAACTTTAGTTAGTCTGTAATGTTGCTTTTTGAGCATAAAAAAGATCTGCAAAGTTACAAAGCTCAAAGTCCACTTCAAAAGGAGATATTTTATTTAACAGAAATCAATTTTCAAAAACTACAACGAACGACTCATTTGGACTTGATGACGAATGGGACGAGACCTGGTTGAGCTGAACTAGAGAAGGCAACGAGTGTTATCAATATGTCGGAGACACGCTAACTTTCCCAAGGCAGACGAACTTAGAGTGGTTACAATCATCTGGGTTTAAAGCACCCTCAAATTGATTTGATTTTGACGCAATATTTACACTGAAGCTCGCAGGCGGCTATGGTAAGGGGCATGACATTTCCCGACCAGGCGCCGAGTGGTGCCAATCACAACACACACTGTCCCAGCTAACCAATCACAGTACATTTTGTATTTCAGAAGGTGGGCCTTCATTTGACACCGGAACTATTCGAGCCGTTCATGCCAGACTGGGGAGAGAGGGGTTAATAATGTAAAATATGTGAAAAATAATGTGTTTTTCGAACAACCTAGTATAAGAGCCTGTTCTAGTACACCTCCAAAACAAAATCAAGACTTTGTAAAAGAGCATAATAGGACCCCTTTAATACTCTTCTGCTTGTATGAGTTTATGAAAACACATCTGACATCTAATGAGAAACCAATACAGTCAACTTTCATTAAATGTCCTTTTGTCCCTACCGTCATAGAAAATGGAAAAAAACATTGGTTACCCAGAGTGGAGAAGGGCAATCAATAATGATTACAGTCTGCGTGCGCAAAAACAAGCCACCTGGACTTGGCACCACACTAAAGGAAGCATCACACAGAAGAAACTTTCATTAAAAACTCCATTCAATCACTTTTTGTGAGAATCAGACCAAATTTAAGTCACTATTGAATGATTTTCCCCTCCTCACATTTAAATATGGTCCATCATGCCATCTTTTACTTCACTGATGATGAAATGCCACTGAATGTGTCATTAACTATAATATGCAGAATGGTCAAGGATATTTTTGTTTAATTTTTGTGTTCTGGCAATAATTGATTAATGGCCAATATTCAAATTAAGTACTATTTTGTCTAAATAAATTACACATAAAACACTTTAAAGGGGTCATATGACACGATTTCAATTTTTCCTTTCTCTTTGAAGTGTTACAAGCTCTTGGTGCATAAAGAAGATCTGTAAAGTTGCAAAGACTAAAGTCTCAAATCCAAAGAGATATTCTTTATAAAAGTTAAGAGTCAAACGCGCCTACCTAAAACGACTCGTTCTAACGCACCCCCACATGTCTACGTCATGATGTGGGAAGATTTGCATAACGCGAAGTAATCATTTTTAATGCTACAAAATATTCATGTTGGAATTGCTAAAGATTATATTTAACTACGTTATTAAATTAGTATATTTAATAATCAACTTTAAATGAGCTTTGGATTGCTGCAATAGAAATCTTAAAGTAAACATGATGAGCATGCATAATTAAATGCCCAATATTTACAATAAATAAATACTACAAAAATCTGCCAATACCTGATATGGTACTGATGTGTGTACACATTGAAAAGCGCTGCATTAAGAATAGCATAAAATTTCAGAATTCATGTTCGGAACTATATTAACAGCATATATAATTGGAACAACATTACAGAGAGTTAATAATGACAATTTTCAATTTTGGTGAACTTAGGGTTAGGGCTATTTTTGGCTACCATTATCCAGTAAAGCAATGCAGAAATCACAAGAGAACTCATGAAAAAGAGTGAAAAGAGACTGAAAGCAAAGTGTGAGAAAGTACAGGTTTTGTGTCACACATCTAAATAAACACATCTAGACCTCCTTTTCTTACACGTATGTTGATCCCTCAGCGATTGCAGCATCAAGACTAAAGGAGTCTATCACGAACAGATGAGAGTCTTTTCATTTCAGCTCAGTTAAGTTCTGCTGATTGAATATGTGATATCAGGCTACAACATTATCTGGGAGCAGCAGCTGCAGTGTTGCGTGTCTGCTGCATTGAGCGCAGGAGCTTTGGGCCAGTTGTGCATTAACTCAACCAGTGCCATGGAAACGCACACACGTGCTGCAATGCAAATATTCCTGAGGAATAATCCTCTCTATTAATACACTCTCTTTTTACATTCCATACAGTCCTTACTAGGAAGTTGGCGGAGTACCTCTGTCACAGAGTAGGAGGGGATACATAATAGTGCTTCTTCTCAGGCGCAGGAATGCGGGGGATCCGACTACTAGTGGGGGAGGGGGGGGGGGGGGGGGGCCGGCTACTGGGGGGGGGGGGGGGGGGGGGGGGAGACCACCATTTCCTCCATTCTGAAATGGTGGTCTTGCAGAGCAGTGCGAATAAGATAAGCAAAGGTTCAAAATACTTGGGTGATGATATGATATATGTTTTGATTCTTATGTTTTACTTAGGCTCGTTTACACTGCAGGTCTTCATGCCCAATTCTGATTTGTTTAGCCTAAATTAATTAGTTTATATTGCTATAGCTTCTTATATTTTTAATTATTGTTC